ACCATGGTGAGAGTAAAAATACCTCCTTCTTCTCTTTACGTTTCTTGCGGTGATGGGCTTCAGCATCCTGTGAGGAGGCTGAGAGCTCGCTGGAGTATTCATGGATCAGACTGTCTATGGCACCTTTGACCATCTGATCACGCCGCTTCATCTCCTCGTCCAGAAGCTCTTCCTCCTCTTCATCTCTAGCCTCTTCTCCAGTCTGAGGAGCCTGTATAGGGAATATGTATTTGTATGTGACAGACAATTATCATGGTTTACAAACTCCTTTTAAGCTGGGACGTTCTCTGAGACTGACATGCACCAACAAACTCTTTCCATCAATGAAACAGGTAAGAAGCATTCATATGAAAGATGTGTTAATATTGATGTAGAGTACACTACCATTCAACAGTTTTGAGTTTTATGTTTTTGAAATTCTCTTATGTCTGAAAGTATCTTTTGCATAACACTTCATTTAATCAAAAATACAATGAAAACAGTAATACAGTGAAATATTATTTCAATTTAAAATAACTGTTTTCTGTTTTAATATATTTTTAAAATATCATTTATTCCTGTGACGTAAGCAGCCATTACTCAAGTCTTCAGTGTCACATGATCCTTCAGACATCATTCTAATATGCTGATTTGGTGCTCAATCATGCTCGTTATTTTAATTAAAGGGGTGGTTCAGCGATTTTTTTCTAGGCTTGATTGTGTTTATGGGGTGCAGTCTAACATGTGTTAATGCTTCGTTTTTTAAAAAACTCATTATTTTTCACATAATTTACCTTTATTCCACACCGCTCTGTCCCTTCTCTGAGAAACATGCTGATCATTTCCTTCTTTTATGAAGCCCCTCCCTCAGAAATAGGCGATGGGCTCTGATTGGTTAGCTAGCCCAGTGTGTTGTGATTGGCTAAATCATCCCGCCCCTCACCTCAGCGGCATGTGCTCCGGTTGTACTGTAAACAAGGCATCGTTAATATCGCTTATCAGTTTGAGCCCGATTGAGAAGCAGAGGATATTACTGAAGAGGATCATGCAGAACCTGTGCAAGCATGGCTTTTAATGGTAGGCCTATATTTTTTGCTTGTTGTTGTCTCATACTTTTAGATACGCTGTTATTTGTAAATGCTACTGCTTATGTTAGCTTTTAATATACGGTTTTATCCTGATTAAAGCTTTAATACAGTACGGCAACTGCACGCGCGTTTAACATGTTTCATGCTCATGTTTAACGCTTCTCATAGCTATGTGAAAATAAGTGTATAATTGTAACAGTTCATTGTTGGAGCTGAGCTGAATGAGA